CACCCTGATTTCCTGAACGGTATTTTCATGACGACCCGTGGCGGTATCTCGAAGGCTCAAAAGGGTCTGCACCTTAACGAGGATATTTATGCTGGTATGACAGTTCTGCTCCGTGGTGGACGTATCAAGCATTGCGAGTACTTCCAGTGCGGTAAGGGTCGTGATCTTGGTTTTGGCTCCATTCTGAACTTCACCACCAAGATTGGTACTGGTATGGGTGAGCAGATGCTGTCCAGAGAATACTATTATCTGGGAACTCAGCTGCCTCTCGATCGTTTCTTGTCTTTCTACTATGCCCACCCTGGTTTCCACATTAACAACATGTTCATTATGCTGTCTGTGCAGATGTTCATGATCGTTCTTGTCAACCTCGGTGCCTTGAGACATGAGACCATCACCTGCAGGTACAACTCCGACCTGCCGATTACCGACCCTCTCCGTCCGACGTACTGCGCTGACCTGAAGCCTATCGTGAACTGGGTCAACCGCTGTGTTATCTCTATCTTCATTGTCTTCTTCATCTCCTTCGTTCCCCTCGCTGTCCAAGAATTGACTGAGAGAGGTGTGTGGCGCATGGCGACTCGTCTTGCGAAGCACTTCGGTTCCTTCTCTTTCATGTTCGAGGTGTTCGTCTGTCAGATCTATGCCAATGCTGTCCACCAGAACTTGTCTTTCGGCGGTGCTCGTTATATCGGTACTGGCCGTGGTTTCGCAACGGCTCGTATTCCTTTCGGTGTCCTCTACTCGCGTTTCGCTGGTCCCTCCATCTACGCTGGTTCTCGTCAGCTTCTGATGCTGCTGTTCGCGACTTCAACTGTCTGGACTGCCGCTCTGATCTGGTTCTGGGTTTCACTGCTGGCCCTGGTGATCTCTCCCTTCTTGTTCAACCCTCACCAGTTTGCTTGGCACGATTTCTTCATCGACTACCGTGATTACATCCGCTGGCTGTCCCGTGGTAACTCCCGCTCACACGCCTCTTCCTGGATTGCCTTCTGTCGCTTGTCTCGTACCCGCATTACTGGTTACAAGCGCAAGCTTCTTGGTGTTCCTTCGGAGAAGGGATCCGGCGATGTTCCCCGAGCTCGCATCTCGAACATTTTCTTCAGTGAAATCATCGCCCCTCTGGTGGTCGTTGGTGTTACCCTTGTGCCATACCTGTACATCAACTCGAGAACCGGTATCTCGAATGACAACAAGCATGCTTCCAACGCGATCGTCCGTATCGCCATCGTTGCCTTTGGTCCGATTGCCATCAACGCCGGTGTTGCGGGTATGTTCTTCGGTTTGGCTTGTTGTATGGGTCCCATCTTCAGCATGTGCTGCAAGAAGTTCGGTGCTGTCTTGGCTGCCATTGCTCACGCCATTGCCGTGATTGTCCTTCTGGCTATCTTTGAAGTCATGTTCTTCCTCGAGTCTTGGTCTTGGCCCAGATGTGTGATGGGCATGATTGCCATGGCTGCCATCCAACGGTTCATCTACAAGCTCATCATCTCGCTTGCTCTCACCAGAGAATTCAAGAATGATCAGTCCAACATCGCCTGGTGGACGGGTAAGTGGTATAGCATGGGCTGGCATACTCTTTCCCAGCCTGGCCGTGAGTTCCTGTGTAAGATCACGGAATTGGGCTACTTCTCCGCCGACTTCGTATTGGGCCATATCCTCCTGTTTGTCATGTTGCCTGCTCTTTGCATCCCTTACGTTGACAAGTTCCACTCGGTCATTCTCTTCTGGCTGCGCCCGAGTCGGCAGATTCGTCCTCCCATTTATACCCTGAAGCAGTCCAAGCTTCGCAAGCGGAGAGTCATTCGTTTTGCTATCTTGTACTTCACGATGCTGGTTATCTTCCTTATCCTTCTCATCGCCCCTCTCGTGGCTCGCAACCAGAACATCAACCTGGGTTCGAGTCTCCCCATGAACATCATGCAGCCCCTCGACAAGGACAACAATGACACGATTGCCAGTTACACTGGTAGAGGTCTCCCCATCGGGTTCTCCGGCTGGACTCCTACCAACCCGGCTGCCACCGCCACCTCCAGCTAGTGAGGAGTCTGTTGCCACGTTGGATTTTCATCTTATCTTCTTCTCTACCTTCTCTCACTTTTTGCGAAAATGGAACATGGAAACGAGCTGTATAAAGTGTTCAGCGCCTTGAGGACGCTGCCGAGTCGCATACATTTGCCTTTGTTTTATTCTCATTGCTTCTTGAAGGACACTCTTCGCCCATGCTCTTTTCTGTCGTCAACATTAATGGATCCAATATCTGTCAATTGAATTCTGTATTCTCGAGGTGTTTTCCAGTCCTTTATGTATGTTCATTAGACTTGCAAGTTTCATTTTGTTGTCCACCATTCATTTTATCTTTGGTATTCTTGGAGCTTTTCCCGTAGATGATGCTAGCTAGCAAGGAACAGCGGAAATGTAGTATCTTGTAGGGATTGCTTGGTCACATTGGCTGATTTAACTGGTCCTCTGCGATAGGGGCTTCCAAGTTGCATCATGGATGGATCAGTCTGGATTTAGTGAGCGTCGAGAAACGTTGTCACATGACTATTAAGTCCGGGCTGATAGGATGGCTGCCTGCAAGGAGCAGACGAAGTCACGTGCACGCGGCCTGGGTTGCCCGGAAGTTGGGAAGTGCCGCGTCGTTTCGACTTTCTGACCAAAGCTCCTCCATTACAGATCACACCTTGATTCCAATGCCATCCGTTCGACTATAGATTGCTGTTGTCGTCTTTCTTTCAGTTCTGGGATTTCCCCCACCGACAGCGTCTTCGTTCAGCGCCACGAGCGCCTCGCCAATTTCGAGACCATGGATATCCAGGAGACACAGCGGCTTCTTACGGAGTATCTCCATGAACTCGCTGCCTTGTTCCATCGGGTTCCCGGCTCCGCGATCTTCCTCCGCTATGTGAAGTCCAGCTATCAGAACGACCCGATCCGCTCGGCCGTGGAACTGTTCTTGTTCCTGTTCGCCGTTCGCTACCTTCTTGCGCCGAAGTATTCGACCAAGCCCGGTGTCGTCCAACTCTCGGAAGATGAGATTGATGACTTGGTCGACGAATGGACTCCGGAGCCGCTGGTCGGGAAGCCGACCCCCTTGGAGGCCATGGAAGTGGACAAGCGTACTGTCATCGTTGGGTAAGAGCCATTCCCTCGACTGTCCGACCTCAATGGGTTGGTCCACTGGTCCATCTGCTGACGCGAACGCGCGCGGGCCCTGTCCAGCCCCGTCGGCCCGAAATCCAAGCTCGCCAACGGCCGGACGGTCATGAACCTGGGCTCGTACAATTTCTACAACTTCAACACGAACGAATCCCTCAAGGAGAAGGCGATCCAGACCCTCCGCAACTACGGAGTCGGACCCTGTGGCCCGCGAGGCTTCTACGGTACCCAGGACGTGCACATGAAAACCGAAGCCGACGTCGCCTCGTTCCTCGGCACCGCGTCCTGCATAATCTACGCCCAGGCCTTCTCGACCATCTCCAGTGTGATCCCGGCTTTCTCGAAGCGCGGGGACATCATCGTGGCCGACAAAGGGGTCAGCTTTGCGATCCGCAAGGGTATCCAGATCTCGCGGAGTATTGTCCGGTGGTACGAGCACAATGACATGGAGGATTTGGAACGGGTTCTGGCCAAGGTGACCAAGGAGCAGGCGCGGAAGCCGCTCACCCGACGGTTCATCATCACTGAGGGTCTGTTCGAGTCGTACGGTGATATGGTTGACTTGCCTAAAATTGTATGTGCTTTCTCGGCCGAGCTGTGGTTGTCTGGGGGTCTTGTTTACTGACTGGACGCTTTCTTCTGAAGATTGAGCTGAAACTGAAGTACAAATTCCGCCTCATCCTCGACGAGACCTGGTCGTTTGGTGTTCTTGGACGCACCGGCCGTGGTGTGACGGAGCATCAGAACGTTGACGCGGCAGAAGTCGACATGATCGTGGGATCGCTGGCCGGCCCATTGATTGCTGGTGGAGGCTTCTGCGCGGGATCGGAGGAGATTGTGCACCACCAGCGGATCTCCGCGGCGGCCTACACGTTCTCAGCCGCGTTGCCTGCTCTGCTGTCGACCACCGCGAGTGCCACGATCAACATGCTGCAAAATAGCCCCGAGACGGTGACGCAGCTGCGGGAACACACCAAGGCCATGTGGGCGCAGTTGGACCCTCGCAGCGATTGGGTGTACTGCACCAGTGCCCCGGAGAATCCCATGATGATTCTGGTTCTCAAGCCCGAGGTGGTCCACGCGAAGAAGCTTTCTGAGGATGATCAACAATTCTTGCTGCAGGATATCGTTGACGAGGTAGGTGTTGTCTGTCTATGTCTTTTCGTCTGACCACGATGCTGACTTTAGGTGCTACCAGTGTCTTGCCAACGGCGTCCTTATCAGCCGCCTCAAGACTCTCCAGGACAACTTCGAGCCGAAGCAGGTGGTGGAGCCTGCTTTGAAGGTCTGTGTGACGATCGGCCTGACGCGAAAAGAGATCGAGAAAGCGGGGACGATCATCCGCCACGCAATTACGAAAGTCCTGAGCAAGAGGAAGTGATTCGTTTTTGTCTGTTTCTCCGGCTGCCGTAGGGACCTGGCCATGACGTTTAATGCTTCCATGATACGCCCTCTGTCCTTTCATCATCGTATTCTGCCCCAGCCTCATTATTTCCGGCCCTGTTGATAAAACCCACTGTCGAAGCACAGTTCCTGTACAGCATATTGCACCTAGATGCTAGGTGAAACGCTCCTGCACATGTCTTAATGGACGGTCGACACGCATCATTTTTACTGAGTGGTGATCGTCTTTGTTTCTCCTACTTCTTTGGCTACATTGGTACCGTGGATATTCTTAGAGACCATATTATTTAATACCACTTTTTCTTCTTTTCTCGGGGGTTTTCGGGCATGGTGGATGATGCAATTATAGGGAGATCCAGGGGTAAGTAATTGTGGCTTGACAATCCAGGGTAGGGCGGGGGGGGGGGAACCTTGATTATAAGGGGTTTGAAGTGTTGACATTCCGGGGATCGGTCAGTGGGTGAAGGGTGAAGGGTGAAGGGCTCAAGGTAGGAGTGATCCTGTACATTCCATAGGGAGAAATGCTCATTCTTGTATAGTGAATTCAATGGTGTCCCTGTTTCAGGAGACAGCCCTGGTCAGGGAACAATCATCTAGCTTTCCTTTTCTTTTTATCTTCTGACTGCCCAACTCAATGCACCATCCACCATCCACCGTGACAGCGGCGGACGACCAACACTGTGCAGGATGCAGTGGACGTGCAGTTGCAATTCCCATGCCCCCATCTTGTTGCTGCTGCTAGCGTTGCTGCTCCTTCTCAACAGCAACACCGTCTCCGCCCATCCACTCCGCCGCCGCCGCAGCAGCCCTAGCCCCAGCAGCAACAACAACAACAACTGGCTCCCCAACCCTTTAAGCCTGGGTCAAGATGCCACCGCAGCCCTAACCTGGCTCGACCACAGCGCCAACCAACTCAGCAACAACGTCGTCCACGGCCTCAACTCCGCCCTCCCTCCTGACCCCAACACTCTTCCCTCGCCTCCCTCACCTCCCCCACCCCCGTCCACCACCTCCCCCGACAAAAACTACGGCATCGCCTACTCCCCCTACACCGCAGAGGGGACCTGCAAACCCGCCGCGCAAATCACCCACGACCTGGCCCAGCTCACCGGCTACGCCCTCGTCCGCATCTACGGCACCGACTGCGACCAAACGCGCCTCGTCCTGTCCGCGGCCCGGGGCCTCGGCCTGCAGGTCTTCGCCGGCCTCTTCGACCTCCGCCACTTCCCCGACGATCTGGCGCTCATCATCGCCGCGGTCGGCGGCGACTGGGGCGCTATCCACACGGTCGCGATCGGGAACGAACTCCTCAACAGCGGCCAGAACACCGCCGCCGAGGTGGTGGGCGCCGTGCAGGCGGCGCGCGCCACGCTGCGTGCCGCCGGGTACCCCGGCCCCGTCGTCGCGGTCGACACGGTGGCGGCGCATCTGGCCAATCCCGCCGTGTGTGCGGCCAGTGATTATTGCGCGGCGAATTGTCATGCCTTCTTTGACGAGGAGGTCGAGGCCGCGGGCGCGGGGGCGTTTGTGAGGGGCCAGGTGGGCAAGTTACTCGAGATGATGGAGGGGGATGGGGATGGGGATGGGGCTGGTGATACGGGTCAACGCAAGAAGGTGGTTATCACGGAAAGCGGATGGCCGCATGCTGGCCAGCCGAATGGGAAGGCCGTGCCCTCGTTGGAGAATCAGCGCGCTGCGGTGCGGAGCTTGAGGGAGGCGTTTGCGCGGTCTGGTGCTGGTGCTGGTGCTGATGCTGACCCAAAGAATGGGGAAGAGGATGGCGAGGTAGGGCTGGTGCTGTTCTCCTCGTTCGATGATCTCTGGAAGGTGGATAATGGGTATACCTTTGGGGCGGAGAAGTTCTGGGGGATCCTGGGGCATTAACTCCCCCTGTTGGTCTTCATACCTACTCTGAGGGGATGAGGAAGGAAGGGTGATATCATGCTGGGTTTCATGATACTGTTTCTATTGCTTGCTCGATGTTTAGGGCTGCGTGTTTTCTCTGGTGTGTATGATATGATATGATTATGGTTGGTTGCTTGTGGAAGTCATGAGGAATGAGGACTGTATGTATAAGTTATGATATCTATCTCAAGTTTCCTCGCTTGAAGAATTGGGTTTTACTTGTCGTGGTCGATCTGCGGGATAGATCTAGTGTTTGTCATGCTTGGAGGAGGTGAGAGAAACGTCCGTTCATCCAAGTTGTAATGTGAGAGGGTACAGTACAGTACACATGTTTCGCACAGAATACCAAATAGTTACCGTACATACATCCCCTGCCCGGTGGAGTATACGTGTACGGTACCATACGACCTCATCAAACGAATGGATCCCGCTGACGACGCAGTGGAACTCGGCTTCCATCAGACGGGGCAGGCAATTCCATGTTGCTTCAGGACCAGACTGTTTTTCCGCAGTGGACAGTGCTTTGATCGTTGGTATTACTCTCTAGTCTAGAAGACAATAGATGCCGTTTCTGTCACCAACTTGAGCAGGTCAAGGTGAAGTGCACATGCTGAAAAGCTCACTACTAAATAGCTCATAGACAAATTAAACCTCAGAACGCGCCGATATGCCAATGCAAGATGATTCTCAAAAACAAGTATCAATTAGAAAAGAATGGGAGATCGTCACTTCCCCACAGACATGTTCTGCACCGCCTCCTCGACACTGACCGGACCACCGGACTTGATTCCTAAGGATGTGGGCGGCCCGACAGCTTGTTCCTGCTCATCGCACGCATACCCCTCGCTCAAATGAGTCGAGCCTTCATGCTCGGCAGGGGACTCCGGCCGATGCGAGGAATCCCCCGGAGTGAGTCTTTCCCGTCCCGAGCGACGGGCTCGGGGAGGTTCGGGTTTATGCCCATGTTTGGAATTGGAAACCATACTGACCAAGCTGCTCCCACCCCCCAGAGCGCTCACACTATTATGATGAAGCTGGGGAACGACTCGCGAGGGACTGGTGAGCGGTGTGCAGTGGCTGGAAACCGAGAGAGTGGCCATGCCGGGGACAGTGGCATGGGTCGACCGTCGCGGCGGAGGGACCGCCGGCGGGGGGTTGGAGGCGGACCGACGCGGGGCCCGAGGAATTGGCACTGCTAGGCTCGATGTGCTGGTGGAATTCCGCCGGTCGCCCGCTCCGCTGGCGACAGGCGGGGGTAGCGGACTCGTAGTCTGAATTTCCCGGTCCTCCGGAATTCTGTCTACGTGCTCATCATCTTCGGCCCTAGGACGGCCTCTCCAGCGCCGAGGATTCGGGGGAAGCGGTTTGATTTTCCCCCTGTTCGCCGACGGACTGAAAGGACGGTCCAAGTGAGCATTGTTTCGGCTCGGCGTGATCACGCCCGGTTTCTCGTGCTGCGATGCCACCTCCTGCACACTAAGCGACGATGACGAGGCCCGCTCGAGGTGCATCCCCAATCTCTGCGCCTGACTGAGCTTGCGATGCGCATTCAGCTTAGCAGAGCCCGTGCCAGCCTCATCATCGGCACGGGTTGGAGACAGATTCTCCGACGAGCTATCCACGGTACTCGTCGGGGAGAGTGTCTGGGACAGCTCCAGCGGTGCACCAAACTCGCCCTCAGGCGACTCGTCATTGCCATCGGAGGTTTTGAGGGGTGGCACCGTAGCCTTCTGAACCTCCGTCGACTCTTCCTCGCGGATCCAGTCGACGGCTGCGCATCGGAGAACCAGTCTTCTAGTTGTTTCATCTGCCTCGTTAAAATGCATGATTCTCTCTTGGTCCGCCTCGCTATGGAAGAGTTGACCATTGACCAAGATACTGAGCATCCGCTTGATGTCGTCACGTTTATAGTAAGGCGGCAGTCTGAGCTGCGTATGAGCGAGCAACGGATAAAGAACCCGGAGGTAGGTGTGTCGAAGGGCGGACGACTCTTCCGGCAGATCCAGCAAGTTTCGGATCAAAATGTCAACCAGGACATGCAGATCGTTCGTGTAGAAGTATTCGTAGGTGCTCGGAGTGGTGAAGATCAGGTATAGAAGCTTAAGCGTCAGGAGCTGGAGGGACGTTTCGCCTGTAGCATGTTAGAGCATTGGTCCGCACCCCACAACAAACACCACATACCTTCTCGATTGATTAGGAGGATTATATTCTCACCAAAGGTCTTGTACATATTTCCATACATGGACAAAACCTTGATGACTTTGTTGGTCAGGAAATTAATGGGTGACTGCTCGTCAACGGGATCGTGCGCCGAGATCATGAATTGCTCGTTAAGAACCAGCTGCCCGACAGTCATTAGCGATTTGCTTTCCACCTTGGACGCGACACTCACCAGAACGCGAATGACTGGATAATGATAAGGGTCGTTGACATCGTACGAGAGATCCTCGATGATGTCAAAGAGACCGCGAACAAAATCGTCGTCCACAAGAACTGCCATACACACAGACAGGGTCAACAATTCCGAACCGAGGCATGCTTTGGGAAAAGAAACGCCGGCGCAAACCCACCCAGATCCTCGATTTTCACCCGCTGTATCCGCGACATCTCATACATCAAGTCCATGAGAAGCCGATGCAGGCCCGCCGGCATGCTCTCATCCGCCGAACGGTTGCGGACCTGCAGCAGTTCCAGCAACCGCGGAAACGAACCTTCCTCGTTCATCATCCGAAAAGCCTCTTCATGTTGGCGACCGTCGAAAAGCAAGAGCGAGGCAATGAGATGAAGTGTAGCCGGGTCGTCGTCCTGGAAAAAAAAATCATGCCCCATGTCAGACGTCGTCACACAACCCCTCCCACACATTACATGAGGCAATGTGCGAACTCCTCGGGGCGTACCTGCAACAAACAATAGATCATCTGTCGTCGAACATAGTCCGCATGCGATGCAAAGATGCTGGATGCCAGGAGCTTGTACAAGCACCGGGTAACATCCAACTCGCCCTGAAGGTATTCATCTGTCGGTTGTCCTGCGTCAGCTGGACTGCATCCGTTCGTTTCGGACGATCGCCTGAGAAAAACCTTTATACTTCGTAGCCAGGCTCAGATATGATCGAAGCGCATTGTCGATATGGTCTTCCGAGGAGCAAGGGGCGGAAACGATCTCTTGGATTTCTGCGGACAAGGTCGCGCAACAAAATTAGTTCCGAATGAATTGAAGTAGCGAGCAGAGGGGTTTCGCAGTGTATTCTGAGCACGATCGGGCAATGGAGAAAGAAACAGACCGGTACTACTCACCGTCCCAGAATTGCTGCTCGTTCTCCAGGGTGACCTCAAACTCCATTTCCCACAGCTCAGTCGTCCTCGTCGGGCGTGGCGTGTCCCTGCACTCATCCCGTCTTGCGCCCGCAGCGAGGGAGTCGGATAAGGCGCTGCTCCAGCCAGGAAAGGGAGCACGAATGAGCGGAAGGAGGAGTTGGATAGAAGGTGAGGAGAGGGGAGGAGAAGAGAGGAGAGGAGAAGAGGTTGGGTGAAGAGAGGAGGAGAGGAGGAGAGGAGGAGAGGAGTTGGAGAAGAGATGGGAGTTGGAGCGGAGAGGGAACGCTGTCAATAATCAATTGAGAAGGCGGGCAGGCGGGACGTCATTCCCGTCCTTCCTCCCTTCGCTTCGCTTGTCCCCCGCCTCTCGTCTCATGGCCCCATCGTTGGTACTGATTACAGCCACTAGAAACAGCAAAGGGCCTACATCAATTTCCCTTTCCTCCCTTGTACCTTGTACAGAGACAGTGACATGTCTACCACTCCATTATCTACTTGATCCCGTACAATAGTACGACTATACAACACATCATCGTCCACAACAGCAGCAGCACCATTCACCATATATGAGCCTTTTATTTCCAAAGCCAGCTAAGAAATAACAGAGCCCATCCCACAAGAAAAGCGAAGGGGGACAAAACAGTAATAGGGAGGGCGAATGCATCAATAAACAACTCGTGCGTGGACTGGACCGTGGTATCTGTACTTTTACAAGCAAAAGCAGCAATGAAGGGAAGCAAAGAGCAAGAACGGGGGAGAATTAAGAATCAAGCAGGACGAACGCAAAATGCACATGCATACAAAGCCATTATTAGTTCGGGCGCCTCAAAGGATGCGCTTCGGTATTCCTGCGGTGTGTCCGTTAGCCAGGGCACTTGATGGGGTTCACAACAAGAGGAAAGACTTACAGTACATAGTCGTCAAGACTGACGACGGTCGGATCACTGAAAAGAAGGTAGAAGTACTTCAGCGTCTCCGCGAGCCAGAATGACTGCATCTCGTCCAACATCTCGGGAGTTGTGACGGTGACGTCGTCGATTGCTGAGTTGGCGAACTCCGTCCGAGTGTACTTCGAGACGGCTTGAAACATCTCCCAACCCTTCTTCCGCCACGACTCGTCGCCAGTCAGACGGTACATGATGAATACCGACTCGATAGCCTCAGGTCGCAGCAAATACTTGCGATTGATGAGCTTCGTCACCCCGGGAGGAAGGCGCTCATTACTGATACGTGTCGCCACGTACTCCTCGTGCGAGGGCACCTTCTCTTCTTCCTCTTCAGGAGGCTGCTCGGGTTCCGGCTTCTTCGGTGTGGCCTCGTCTTCCAAACCAATGACGTGCCAGTTACCGCGCTCGCGCTTCCCCAGTAGAGTCTTCTTCTTCTTCAAGTCAGCTACCTCAGCCTCGGCTTGCATTGCAGCCGCTGCCTCCTCCTTCTCCTTCTGCTCTTTCCGCTCCTGCGCCTTGGCGAAACGCTCCAGCATGTCAGGATCCAAAGCAGTGTGATAGGTCGACTCGTCCCATTCACAAGGCTGGCCTTTTTTGCACGGAACCAGGGAGAATTCTTCGGGCATGATACCACTCTTGGTAGATTGGTACGCCCACACACAGCCGTCAGTCAATTGCTTAGCCAGGTCCATATCTCCTTCCAAGCCGAAGAGTTTGGCTCCAATGCCAACCATTCCACCAAGAAAGCATGACAAATGATCCCCTTTGTATTCCATGACCGTGGGGCCTGGCTTATTCTTGGGGATGATCGCTGTGCTCAGAAAGCGGACGTCCCAGCCGCCCTTGATCATAGGCTGGAAGACCAGATGTTGACGGATTGTGTTCATAGCTTTCTCGTACATGGAGCGGTACTGATCATTGAGACCGCCCAAAAGCATATAC